CGCCCGCGCCGCACAGCCCCGCGCACCGCAGACCCCACTCTGCATTGCATTGCACATCGTATACACCACTTCAAGATTTCACCACACTATTGGAGTAATAGTATTATTTGGGACACATATAAATAAAACAAAAACGGAAAGTGATAAACTTGAATGTTTTGACCTACGAAGATCAACTGTTAATTATGAAACAGTAATGCGAAGTATTTTTAATGTTATACATAATATTTATATGTTAGGTTGTGTGTCGGCCGCGCGGCCTTGACCTACGCGAGGCGCAGCGCCGCCGCCGCGCCGGCCCGCGCCTGCGGAACTCTCTGCTAAGGTTACCAACTGTGGGAGGCTCTCGCATTGCACTCGGCTTGCCCCGACCCCACTCGCTCGTATAACTTGTTATATTAACATTTAAACTGAAAATTATATTCAAAAGTTCCTGTTGTTAGGTAAGATTCACTGTTTGTAAACATACACACAAACATACGGTGTTTAAAAACAAATTGGGAAAGACATATATTTACAAACAATTTTCAAGGCAAAGAGATATTCCTACAGGCAGGTCCACCATCCTGCTTGTCGGTTTACTGACGCTAACAACACCGTATGTGAACACCGAAGTGTGATCAATATCCCAATTATTAGATGTCTAGTTTATTTGTTTCGATTATCGAAATAAATAATAACATTTAATAAAATCTCACCATTATTACTTCTACGTCTCCTCTTGCCCATATCACAGATAACTAAGGTACTTATGTCACAATATAGGCTAATGTGTCACATATCCTGCGGGAGCGGAGTGCTACCGGCGCCTCGCTCTCTGCGCGACCATCTACACTGGCAATGCACGTGCACGTGAGGCGAGCGCGCGCGCGCGACTGCCGCGGCCAGAGTGCGCAGTGCAGCGCGCCTGCACCTGATACCACCACTGGCACGACTACTGGATCAATCAGCTGACCCAATCCTCCTTTCCTTCTTTATTAACGTCAAAGTTAGCGAATATTTCGCATTTTGAACGAATTGAAAAGAAATGCCATTCCGGAAAATCTAACGACATACATACTCCGGCTAATCGCAAATCCAAGAACGTCACAAAACAGGGTATAGTAGTGCAACTTAGGTTCAAGGTCTAAGTAGCGGACTGTTATGTTATGCAATATTCGTTTGTCTCTTACATAAAATACAAAAAGCTTCGAAACTCGTAATGAATAATGTTGAAATTCGATAACAAATTGGACAATAAAAATAATACCCTTATATACGTCCTACACTTGAGCAAGCAACCGGAATTTCGGAGGCCACTTGTGAAGCAAGTTTTACTTAAAGGAAAACTTAAATGCGAAGGCGACGTAGCAACAGACAGTCGTCAGTGAGCAAAACAAGCGCCGTACACTACATCTCTGTGTGAATCGCATAAATCTAGTAAAAAATTACAGTTGACATTAACAAAGACGAAAACGTCTGCAGATCGCGAGCGAGCTGCGGACGCGAGTGGCGCGACGGACACTACGCGCGAAGGTTTTGGGTTTTTTGTTTGCGATATATATATTTTAAATGTAATAAAAAAATATATATGAGGAAGGAAAATTGAAAGATACTTTTAATATTTGCGGACAATGTCGATAGCCGCTAGCAGAAAAAACAAACTCGAATTACTTGCTGCTGGCTTCATTACCAACATATACTTAATATTCCTGTTATATATGTATATAACTTGGAACAATATAATAAATTAGTTTACATAATTCTCCGCACGCGTCCTGTAGACGCTGTACCAGTTATATGCAATGCAAAGGGCTGCATTGAACTTTACCCTGACAGACACATATCCTAACTTCACATGAAACTCGACATTACAGCTAAACATACGTCGGGAAACTTGAATTTTAACTGTATTGGATTGTTTTATGAATACAATAGCTCTTACGCGAACCCGTCGGCCTCCGCGCCGCCTCTGATGCACGAATCCTCACTGCCTAGCAGAGTTCACTTCCTGTTATTTCCTAATTCTACACGTTCGGTCTCCTCTGTACTATTTGTAGAATTATTACGACGATTACTATTACGACGGCAAAGTAAAAGGCCCAGATTTTATGGCACTACAAAAGCACAAGTGTTTGCACAGATATGTGGTCCTAATGCGCCATTGGCCGAGCGACCGCTCTCTGAAGGTTACATACATCTTAACACATAAAATCCTAACTATAATAGCTTGATAAATAATAATCTAATATTGCAAACACAAAAAGTAATACTTCTGAGAAGTCATTGGAGTTGATAGCTTACGTCAGGTTGCGAGGAAAACCGAATGTGTTTGTTTAAATTTTAATATTTGTCTACGATGTGTTGCAAATAACCGATATACTGTGAACAAGTCGATAGTTTAAACCGAATCCTAGAGTTTATGTTTTCATTGTGTCTTCATTGTCATCATTTACATACACGAGAATCTCAAGTTAATTGACTGTTATCGAGGCTTATCAATATTTAAATCAGTCATTGATCTTTGCTTCGGTATATACGTCACGTTTCAATATCCTACTTCTCTTTACAGAGTTGACACTCGCGGTTTACACCGAAACTTATTTATAATAGTGACATGGGGAAGGCCCGTGCCCAGCGCCGGCGGCGCTTGCGCAACCGTTCAAACAAACACTCGGCTTTCCCGACACTGACTCATCACATTGACAGTATAAATACTAGTGTAATTATGAACTCTGCTATTGTTCAACATAATGACAGCGAACACACATTGATATACCACTCAGATATAAATACATATGACATTGAGATCTTAATATGCCTTCGAAGGTCAACCATAATGAAGGTAAATTTCACTTTTGATGCTGCAGCTCTTATATCATCATCATCACCAGCTCACTATACGTGCCCATTGAAGGACTAAGCCTACCCTAAGTTAAGGCAATCAGGCCTTAGTCAACTACGCTGGCCCACTGCGGGTCGGTTGACTTCACAAATACGTGCAGGTTGCCTCAAGGTGTTTTCCTTCACCGGAAGAACATCGGGTAAATTCGGTACATTGGTACATGGCGGAATTCGAACCCAAGACCTGTAACTTACAAGTCAAGTCAAGTGCTCAAACCCCCGAGCCACCGACGTTTGAAGTTTACTTTAACATATATAAAATGCGACCTCCAGCGAGCAGCGACTTTGCTATTCTTCGATTTCATCGAAACCGGTCGCGTATTTAAGTTATAGTCGCTTTTGTACGTAAATGAATTCCTGTTTGTAGGAGGCGAGGCGGCATTGTATTTCATAAAGACCTTAAAACCTGTTTATTTTGATTAATTCGAATGTATGATGTTTGATGCATGGCGTTTGTTTGCCGGAAGTAGATGTGAGGTTGCGAGTGCAGTAACATCACAAAATCTTCAGAAAAAATTGTATTCTACAATTTAAGCATAATGTGTTTATGTGTGTGATTTGTACAATCGATTAAAACATAATATCCAATCAGCCTTTTAGATGTTTTGTTGGAAAATAAGAAATGCATTATTTCCGCACTGACGTGTTGAAATGAAACATGGGTGTTGAAACACACTTGTTATTTTAATTAAATCAATAATAAAGCAAGATTTTATTCTTTTGCTACTGTTTATGCAAAATCATTTAAAATGATTTCCTTAGTTTTTAATATTTCTGCAGAATGTAATGATGTGACTAACCTCGCTGTGCAGTAACTCCGCTGCTATGTTTATTTTCACGTCTTACACTTGTAACTTCAGTGACCACATATAAAAATATAACGGTGCGAACTGATTATACATTTTTGCACTAAAAATACTAATAATCATTTTCAAACAATACTTTTCAGTGCGCACATACAAAGTCAATCCGGTTAGACAGCATTGTGCAGTTTTCACTAAGTATTGAAGGACGGTGTTTCTGATATTCTGCGAATGTTATTCCATCATCTTCAACATCACACGCTCACTACAGAGGATAAGTTACCTTGTGTAAGAGCTACCTTCGGAATTACATTCAGCTCGCCGCTCGACACTCCGATAAATCTAGAAAAAAATGTCAGTCAGTTGCATAAGTGAAGTACTGACCGAGAGCGTGCCGGGGCGTGTCCGTGGACGGGGGCGGGGGCTGG